ATAAATTAAAAGCGAGAGTTGTGTAAAGATTTTCACACGCCATGTACATTAAGTAGTACACAGTGTGCAAACAGAAAGGAACGCCATGCTGAATATGCCAGAGTCAAAGAAAAATGTTCGGTTAATTTTCCCGCGTGGGACACGTTGCCAGCGACAGAGAGACAAACAACAATTAGACAAACGGCGGCTAAAAACAATGTGCTTGACAAAATATTTGAACGATAGTGAGACAAATTCGTTAGTACCCACCACCTGCAATGCTGGCGCAATTAGTGAACGTTCAAGAAAAACGCTCCACAAACAATCGATGCATATAACTGTCTGACGAATAGAGAAGCAGCAAAAAACCAAAGTACTTTTCTTATTACAACCGGAATTAAACCATTTTGAAATGAATTTCAGTGTATTTATTGAAATGATCAACGGCAGAAAAAAAAAAAACTTTGTGGAAGCAAAAAGTTCACATTTCAATATTGCTGCGAGCGAATATCTCCGTCTTTTGCACGTGCAATTTTAATTTTTTTCTCCCACTCCTGAAATGCAATTAATGAAGAAGTGCACAATTTGCTGAGATAATGAGATCCTTTCAACGGAAAATTGCTACGATCGAAGAAAATGTGTGTGTGTATATGGTATGAAACTGATTCGCTCAGCGTTTTTGCAATATGTATAAATTGCAAAGTGGTGCACAGATGCAAGACTAACGCATTTTGGGGCGACCACACAAGTAAAAGACGATGCAGATGAAGATGGCGACGAGAGTGGAAAAACGCTGAAATTTAAATGAAACTTGCATGAAAAGGAGACACGCTGAGAGTTTTTGCTAGGCGAAGGTAAGGTGCATGTGTACAGCATGGCAAAATAAATGAAATGCATAATTTATAAGCAAATTGTGAAAGTGGATTAGTCTTTAATCTAGTGCGGTGCCACACCATACCACCTACACACAGCCAGCCAGCCCATCATCATTGCTTGCCTCAGCGTCTAAGAAATATTAGTGAACCCATCAAATTCACGCTAGCATGTGTTTTACGAAGCAAAACACTGAGCTAACAGTGTTTTTTTTTATCTTCTGGTGTTAATTAACTTAGTACAGATTATAGTGGAACACATTCGTGTGAAATTTACCAAAGTGCCGCTCGAATAAATTCCATGAAAAATTTAAATATTAAATCACGTCACATGGTCTCCGGAGTTTTTTTTTTTTGTCTTTCTCACTTTTGCCGCATAACAAATTCAAACGGTTGATAGAGAGAGAAAAAAAAGAGTGTACATCTAAATCTCGATGAAACAACGTGTATCTGCGAGTTTTTTCTCTCTCTGTTCATTCACAAAACAATACGTTACAATTAAAACGTAATATCGCTTAGATACACCAGACCTAGGGGTTTCACGCAAACTCGAAGGCCGAAGATTTTACTAAATAGCTGGAAATAAAACCATTTTATGTGTAAACTATAGATATTGCTTCTTTTTATTCATAAACTCGAATTTATTAGAATTTTTTGAATCTAAAAATTCTGGAAGTGGGTTTTGGTGGATCCTCAGGATTGTTCAAAACCGCTCCTGGTTCTTGAAGTGGATCCTCAGGATGGACCAGGGCATTGTCAAACCCAGTCTGATCCATCCTGAAGATCCACCAAAACCCACTTCCAGAACATAATTTTCAAGGTGAATGTTGAAATATTTCGAAATAATACGGATTTTGGTGAATCCCAGAGAATTTTAGAGAAAAGAGAGAAATATTGAAATTTTAGATGAATTTTAAGTTGCGTGAAACCCCTAGCACCAGACAAGTCGAATGAACAAAAGTAAACTATGGTCGAATAGAACAAACATCGATAGCAATTGTAATTTCCAACTATTTTCCATGGTCGTCGACTCGGGCTGGTGGCGAGCGAGCGACCGAGCAAGAGAGATGTTATCGGTGTATTATAGCAACACCATCGAATTGTGCGGCCAGCCAATTCAAATAAAGTCATTTATTTGGCTTTGTGGTTCTGTCTGTTCAATATTTTGTTTAGCAGCGGAACGAAATGGCGAAACATGAGTTCGAATACTATGAAACCGGATATAGTTGGTAGAAAATATGCTCGAATATCGTTTTGTGTGACAAATACCCAGGTGAGAGAAAGGGAGAGAAGGGAAAAAATGCTGACCCGTAAATCAATTGCTTAATAACATACCTGTGAAGGAAAAAAAACAAACGAGCGTTTATAGAACGATGCGCATTTTTTCCATTTCGACTGCGAAAGCAGCAACAGGAATATTTTTCCGCCAACACAACATTCATAAATTTGATGCTCAAACAGATATTTACTCGATCGAAACACATAACTTTCTTGTTTCCTTTTTTCGTTTCTCTTTTTTGGCTGTTGTTTATTTGCATATTGATTCCAAATCGTACCTTTTTCGCTGTCAATTCTTTTTTCACTTCTATACAGAGTATTCAGGGTTAGTAGAACTCGGCGAGTTTCAATGAAAATAAAAACAAAAATCTAAACCCATTGAAGAAGAAAAATGCTTCGGTATTATATTCGAATTGTTATGAGAATATGTGCTCACCGTGATATATGCAAATATGCTGTTACCATATGAATGTTTTCTTTGAATTAAAACACAAAACCATTTGCAAATATTTTCAAACAAATATTGTTTTGAACAGCAAAAACCATATTGATTTCATTTTTTTTTTATGAGGGAAAACAATTGCAAATTTCTGACATATTTTCTATGCGATTTTTAATGTATTCATAATTTCCGCTTTTTTCTTTACATTTTTGATCGAGCTGGTACGAAAAAAACTAAATCATTTAAATAAAAACGATTGTTTTGGGAACAATTGATTCATCGCTCTTCTCGAAAATTGAATTTCTCCCTTGTTCATTCGTTGGTCATTTTCAATGGTTCGACACTATGCATCAGATAATCGACAAGCATTTAAAGTAACATTTTTCATACAGCAGATTGGCTGCGAACTGCGAAAGTGAGAAAACAATCGAGCAAATAAAATACCACTCGCTGTTAGAGTCAATTGCTGAAATGGTTGTTTTTATTAAGTTGCAACTGTCGTTCGAGCGAAACTTCTTCGCTAAGTGCTGTTTGTGAAAGCTTTCACATGGTAAACCGTAAGTGTGTGAGATTGTAAGAATGTTATACGTCGACTTTTGATCACAACTTAGTTTCGTCGAGTGTTGCAGAGTGAGAGAAAATTCCCGTTCATCAAGCTGCTGGCAACACCATTCGAATCGCGTGATAAACATCGCGTTTGACCGTATTAACTATTTTATGATGGATTTGACAAAAAAAAAATCAACTGGCAAACGCAATACTTAAATAAACAAATTACCAATCAACTTTCTCGACTCCAATTCAGAGAGATGCGAGTTCCAAATGGTGAAAGTCAATAAGGTTTAGCGTCTGGGTGTGTTTACGACAATTTCAGTAATTGATGTGTGAAATGTTTATATTGTAGTACTGGCTGAGCTACATGCAATGGAAAAACCATCAGAAAAATAGGCGGTCGCCATAGTCTACATATTTTATCGGAACATTGAATTGCGTGTGAAACTTTATATGAATGGTTTGGAGCGAAAATGTAATACAGAAAAGTTGAGCGGAAAAATGTCAATTGAAAAGGGATAGCTATATAGTTCACAATAGTTTACTATACAGTTTACTATATAGCTATCCCTTTTCCGCTCATTCATCATCGACATTTTTCCGCTCAACTTTTCTGTATTACATTTTCGTTCCAAACCATTCATATATGTTTTGCGTGTGTCATTGCAAATTGTAATTTTACAACTGATTTTGCAGGAAAAAAAACGAGTAAGAAATTCGTAACATGAAATAGTGGTCGAGATCGCGTTATGCGGATCATTTCCTTAAGATGTAATTTAAATTTGTAGATCCAAGTTTTTCGAGCAAAAAGTGAGAGGCTTTTATGGAAACGCGTAGTTTGGCCTATGGGGATTTATTGCATCATGCTCGATTTGTTAACCAAAGCATGCCCATAATCAAATTACAGTGCGGTGATATCGATTTTCTGGCACAATTCATTTTCGCTTGTGTAAGAAATCTTGGCCAGAGACAGAAACAAAAAACACACACACTCGAAAAGTATTGCATAAATTGAATTCATAATGTGCACACAATATGTGCATTGAGGGAATTCACAAATAGGCATTTCTATCTGTATGTTTTATCGAAATTTGCTTGTGTTGTTTCTCTTTTCCATTTTGGGGTTTGTTTTTATTATTCAAAAGATAAAGCTTGAATGAATGAACGAATTGTTCGTGTTGTGTGGTGTTGAATGAACTTTGCCTGGCGAGAACTCATTGACCTTAACGAATATCCACAAAGCGAATATGTTAATGCCAAGGAAGGTTGTTCACACTACCGCAACAACATCTTTCAGCCAACCAATTCAAATGGCTGTTCATTTGAATAAGATTTACATTCGTTCGGTTATAAGTAAGGTTCCGTTTTCTTTTGCTGTTTTGGATTTTAACATCAGGACTCCATTTATTTTGGCCGGGATGAACAATTCAAAACAAAAACTCAACAACAACACGAAGAAAAAGAGAATGTATGTAGCCGGAAATATTTTGTGTGTGTTTCGAAACTGAGTTTTCGTGTTATTTTGCAATCGTGATCGAAAAATAATGAAAACGATACCGATTTAGCCGAAACGCAAAAGCGCCAAAATAGAACAAATACTTGAGAAATCTCGGCTTATGTACTAAAAGCACATACACACACTAACAATGCACATTTCGATTGCTGTTCGCGTTCTCAGACCACAAAAACGCCTTCTTGCACTCCGACTCAGTGTACACAAAATGTGAAAATAAAGAAGAGAACCAAAAAGCAATACGATTTGCTTTTTCTACGCTTCTTCTTTTCGTTTGGTGATTTCTGACGCGCCATATATTGTGTGTTCGCTTTCGAGCGAATGACGGTATACTATGAATGGGAAGGTATATATTTTTACTTACCGATATTTTCTCGTTTCGAAGTACTTATCATCAAAATAATCGGAAGTATCTACGTTACTGTTGCTGTTACTGTAGCTGTAGCCATTGTAGCCGCTTTCGACATCCGCCGCAGAAAATCCATTATTTCGATGATTGTTGTTTCTGTTGTTGTTGTTGTAACCGGAATTTTGATGTATTTCAAATCCCAAGTGATTGCCATTAGCGGCTAAAGGCTCTTCTGTAGTCGCACCGAATGAATCGTGTTCACCATGTATACAGGTCCCCACGCATATGCAGACATGTTCGAGACGAACGCGATTCAGGAGGAAGCGATGTAGGCCATGGCAGAAAGAGAAAAAATGGAGAAGAAAGAAGAAGAATAAGCAAACACAAAATGAACATGTACATTAAATATGGAAATTAAACATGGATTTTACGCATTTACTCAGTACATACATACACATAACTGGAAAAAACATGAGATACGAGGAGATAGTGGCAGGGGCACACGTAATTCAAAATTCATTGAAAATCTGGGTAATTTGTGTATAAATAAATGATTGCTCATATGCGCCACCGTTGGGGCACCAATTCGTCGACTATTTCTCTCGCTATTAATAGTGCTGTTGTAAGTGTGATGTGTTCGTCTGTGTGTGTTGATTGTATTGCAGAAAACAACAAAATACACACTTTTCTCGACACCTAATTTAAAGCGGAACCAGTTCCCATTCATTTCAGTCCATAAATAATTTCACGGATCACATTTCATTTTGGTGCATTATCATTTTAATCCCCCGTCACGTTTCTTCTTTGAGTACATGGTTTTTCGTTTGAAATCCAGCACGTATACACAGTACACACACAATGGGTGTTTGATTTACTTTTGCAATTGAGTTATACATATTCCGAACGAATAAATATTTTCTAAAGTGTGATATTCAAAACCGAAAAGACTCCCTGGCCCTGCCTGTCTGTTTGTCTTTTCGAATTTCAGATAGGTTCATCTCAAAAATTAGTTTCACTTGTGTTTGATCACAATACCTTGAAGGCATTTGTAACCTGAAGAAAACTCTGAAATTTAATTAAAACTCGTAAAATGTACAAAAACACACTCAAACATCCACACAATCAGTATCGATTATCAACTCAGCTTGAGAGCATGACAATGGCTCGTTAAGGGCTTCAAATGCGATTTTCGGTAGATTTGTGTGTGTGTGTGTGTGTGAGAGAGAGAGAGAGAGAGAGAGAGAGAGAGAGAGGATGGAATCGGTGCGATGGACACAGCTTAAGCGATGATTTATGTGTTGTAAATCAAAATGTTAAGGTATTTATTCCCATTTCAATTTGCTTTTTGTGTTCGACAAAACCGACAATTCACACATTGGTAAACGTGCTCTCTCTCCGACGAGTATATTCGAGGACGATAGAGGGATTGATAATCATCAGAACCGAAAACATTTTCAACAAAATTGTGCGTTGTGTGCGGCCAAATCATACCGATATGAGAGATATGGAGAAATGTTCTGAGTTGAATACCAACACGAGTGGTTGAATGTGTAGGTGCAAATGTTGTCCTTTTTTGCTATATATGCATCTCAATTGTGTTTATGAAATGCCATGCAAATTGAGAGAGAGACAGAGAGAGGTTGAAAGGGATGTTTATGATGAAGTTTCCGTTCGGTAAACTCCTGTGCATTTTGTGCACCGTGTGTAATCCTTTTGCATTAGAACAGCAAATTGAATTTGAATGACATGATGAAAAACAAAGAGCAATCTAAATTTAAACGACATGACTATAAATAGAGCAATTGTTTGAGAAAGACACCCACACACACACACATATGCTCAACTGGAATGTTGTGCTAATAAATCTTTTCATTTAAATCCATCAATTGCTGATGATTTTCGATGAATGGAAACACGATTCGCATTATGAATTGGGCTAATTACGTGCACATTCACCGAGAAAACTGCCAATGGATTATACAAAAATAATGCTTCATGATGAATGCATTGGGGCTTTGCCATAACGGATATGCCACATGTAATGAATGGATATGAGCATCGAAAGCAATGAAGTCTTAAGCTCATCTTCGTGTGCACGAACTTGTGTGAAGGTGAAGGTGAGACAGATATATATAGAAAACAATGTCATTGCGAAGGGACTTGGGAATTATGGCGACGTCTCAAATTATTATTTTGGGATGGAATATGCTTGTGCCATGCATACATAAAACGCCCGGCCGATTCCAACACAAGTGTGCGGCGGCAAGAGTGGTAGAGAGGGATATCGAGTTCGAACAATTAATTAACAATTTAGAGCCTAATTTAATAAATAACGTTGAATTTGCGCTAAAATTAATCATGTAAAATGAATCGTTTTAGCTTTTGTGCGAAATTCGGGTGGGTTTCGGTTACCGTCATAAAACTAGCACGCGTAAAACGATGACGACGATTCGGTGCTCATGAAAAATATCAAAAGGATTCGCATATCATACGTGTTGTTTTACAGATGAACTCCATTAATTTCGAATTGTTTGTGTGCGCAATATATGTATATGTTGAGCATGGAACAATATTCCGTTGATTGTCGTTGAATATTTATTGTTGGTGGGCGGACAGATGTGCGCTCACTTAACTAGAAAATGAAATGACACGAAGGACAAACATACACACATTTTGCATGAACATGTGTTTGAACCGTCTCTGTGCAAATGAATTTGATAATGTTTATTGTCGCTGTGCAGGATCCATTCTTCTGGAGATTACATTAGCTTATCCCATTTCGCTCTTAAAGCTAACGAAATGCAACTCGACGAAATGCTGGTGCTGATGAGAGCATTCACAAGGATGGCGTAATTATTTCTCAGACGAAATTAAATTAAAATGAGGAGCGAATGAGCGATATGGTATGAAATGAAACGGAAGCTAAAATGACAACATCCAACCGAATCACCAACCGGCATGCGTCGGATAAATACATCATTAGGTTTTCGTTATTCCTGGCATAATGCATTGTACAACATGTCATCACGTCAATGTGTATATACACCGTTAATTGTACTGACAACATTGTAAATGTGAATGCGGCAGCGAAGCAGCAACAGCGGGAGTAGAAAAGCGGGCGCGCACGCCCTCATCACACTCGAATGCTGCTTGAAATGTTGTTATGTGTCATTCGAAAAACCACATACTGTGACACTTGCCAAGATATTTAAACGATGAAAACACATTTCACTGACATTTTCGTGTAAGTTTTAGAATCATCTTTAGTGTTACCCATGAACAATGTTGTCTCAGTCTCTGTCTCTCTAGCTCGCTATCTGACTTCGGAGCCGCCCAAATGTACTGAGGCGAAATTTTCCAGTGTTCCCATAAATAAATGTGTACATAACTTTATGGCAAAGCCACAAATAACCGTGGGCAAATGTTGTTGGTGCACACACAAGACACAGGCAACAACAAACGGATGACCCAAACAACATCTATAACCCGCACTGAAAAAAGCACCAACCATGAATAAATCATGGACAGCGTAGATGGCGTGTGTATGGTTCTATTTTGTTTTTCATATTGGAACAAAATGCATATTTTTTTTTGTTTTTATTTGCCATGATTTACATAAGAAACAATATTCCATGAGCGCTTGGAAGTTTTCGGGCGATTGGCGATATCCAATCGTAATATACGAGAAAAGACGGTGAAAAAGAGAAAAAAAAAAGGCGAGCGCGTTTCTATTCGATGCCTTCATCCGTTTTATTGATCCCGTTCTCTCTCTCGATCGGATGCAATCAATATATCCACGTCTTTTGGATGTCTATGTTATCGAAATCAGCATGGCATAGCCATTGAATCCACTTTAAATATTTGATTTAGACGCCCGAAAAACGAAACCGAGAGAAAAAGAAGAAGAAGAAAAAGAAAAACAAACTCCAACGCATCCAATCCAATTCAATCGCAAGCACCGAAGAATATTCAAACACAAAACAGCTACAAGAACATACTCGCATCGCGTACTATTTGATTTATGTGTTTATTTTTTTGTTCGTCCATGGTTTTTTCTTCTCTTTTTTTTGCTTGTGTGTGAGCGTGTGTGTGTGTGTGTGGTTGTGTTTGCGTGACAGAGTGGATCGGAGTTGCAATGAATTATTCGAAATTGGCGTTATTTTACATCATCGACTTTGATCCATACACCGTCGTTTCCTATCCAATTTCTGATGTATTCATCATACAACACCAGACACGTACACGTACTGCATACACATATACCCAAAATGGTGAGAAGCCTATTGGCAAACGATAAAAGCCCAAATGGACTACCATTTGTAAAAATGCGAAAATTGGACGAGTAAACGATATCGCATATTATTTAACTTGAATTAAGGCTTTCGAGCTCGTGCTCAGACACGCACATCGCACACGTCATGAGAAACCAAATAGACAACGAAGCAGAGGGAAAGCCGAAGAGAAAAAAAAGAAGGAGAGCACCGAATTACCTGAGCTTTTTACCGAATTTGTGCTTCTTTTCTTCGTCATCGTCGTCTTTCTTTGGTTCGGGGGCATATACTGCACATTGGACTATGGCATTAGCTTACTTAACTTCTTGCCGAGCACTCATGTGCCATACGGCCATGATATTCACCATCGTGTCTATTTTTCATTATGCCACTCTCTGTTTCTCTGTTTCTCTCTTTCTCTGTCTCTCTGTTTCTCTCTCTCTTTCTCATTTCACTTTGCTGTGCCGGTGCTCGGCTTCATTGTCTGCATTTTTGGTAAACACTTTCACGTAATCGGTCGACAAGAATGAATTGGCAAGCGATTCGCAATGATTTGATTGTATGTGTAGAAAATCGACGAGATCTTGTTTGCAGCGCCATTTATGCCAGAGATCGCTTGCTCGCCTTTCCTCTCTCCCTCCCTGTTTCACTCATTCTCATACGCTTTAAAAAAAAAAAAAAAGCTTGCATATCGAAGCTCACTGCAGCACCGTATCAGGTTGCTCACGCTGCGTGCTCTACACCGACCCATGTAATGTAATATGGAAATGAACGAGAATCACGTATCATGGAATGGATTCGTATGACCGAACAGCAACCTAATTTTTTATAGACTTTTCTACCTATTTATGTATGCGTGTGTATCTTCGTTAGGCATTTTCTTTTCGTTTATTTTCGTCTCGTTCGCTCGGCTCCTCAGCTCCGTTTCTTTTGGATTCGTTTATGTGAGTTTGCTATATGGCCTGTGCTGTATTTTTCGATTTCAATTTAGCCGATTTTTTTTCTGTGTGCCATACCGTTTATTTTCCTGGCTCTTTTTTTCTCTCTCTTTTCTCGCTCGCTTCAACGTGGTTTGGTTTACTTTGTAAACGTGTTGTGATGAGGTTTTTTTCGGCATTTGATACAAATTTTCACATACATACCTGGTGCCAAGTAATCTAAACGTAACCGTGTATGAACGAAAAAAAAAAACACCGGTCGAAAATCGTTGAACACATAGGCAAATATTTAAAGTTGCCAGCACAAAAAATTCGGCCTTTTTTACACAATCTCGAGACGAATTTGTATATTGCGCAAAAAAATGTGAAATTCGTTCCACTAAATCGACAACAATATCTGAATGTCGTTCTGTCAATGATTAGATCGAAAGAAACTAAGAGATCAAATGACTACAACCGTGCATTTCCATTTCAAACTCGGAAAAATCAGTGAAAACATGGAATTTTAAATGGTTATCGCCCTTGAATAGAAAAATGGCAAAAAATACGAAAAAAAAGTTAATATTTGAAATTGGTTGAAATGTAAATTAATGCCTTGTCACACTAATAGCTTTTAAGCATTTTCACAAATTGATTTAACATTTTCAAATGTCCTTCAACCGCTTCTCCATGATGCACGTGGAATTTTAGTTGAACCAAATAGAAAAATTTATTAATATGATTATCACATAGGAACTTTGTTGCCGAATGACGAGACTGGATTCGGTCCGACATGCAAAATTTCGTCGGCTGCTGCGTCCGTATTCTCGATGAATCCATTAATAATCTAATTCTTCCTTTTCACACGATTTTAGTGCCGATTCGTGTTTTTTCTGTTTTCGGCATGTGTGAAAAGTTTCATAGACAAAAAGACAGCGTCATATCAGTATTTTCGTGACTGACATTTTATTTAACGCTGTACTTTGCCCGCTAGCAACTCTAACCCGCTGTCTCTATCATTCTTCCGACATAATCTCTGTCTCTCTCTCTCCCGCAGTCATACTCCTAAAACTGCATGCACGAATGTGCTTTTGCCTTTGAGTCGGTATCAAAAAGTTTGCTCTAGCGTTAATTCAACACAGACATTGAATATTTAATGCGAACACAACAAAAACGGCACAAAAACACAAAAAAAAGAGTGTTTTTAATTTGCATTGCTCGTACGAGCACGTCAGTTGTCGGAGTGTCAAAAGAGCTCAAAACATAAACACATATACACGATGAAAATTAATCATAAAAATCACAAAGTGAAAATACTCACGACGGCCAGACGACTGCGAAAACTGTGATGCAAGTGTACGAGCACGCGATGAACCATTTGAATCATGTCTATCACGAGATTGGCTGTTTGTCAGTGTTTTTGCTCGATGTGAATTTTTTCCACCGCCGGCTGTACCACCACCACTGCTACTTCCGCTGCCCGATCCACCCGACGAATGCAAATGAATAGTTCTTATATATTTATCGTCAACCTGTTGCGAAATAAATAGCCCACCCACCCACCACCGAAACAAACAAAAATAAATATATGTATAAAAGCAATTGATTTCATAGCATCGCGCATCTTTTGAAAATTGTTCAAACAGTTTGCTTCAAACAAATATATACAACAACGTGCATTTTTTGTTCCTCTGCTCCTTTTTATCCATAATAAAAATATTTGTTTTGTAAATTCTGGCAGTGAGATGCGCAACAATGCCGAAACAAGTGTTTATTCTTAATGGAAATGCCTCGAAAATGTTTCAGCACCGAAATATAAAAGCATGAGATTGAAATAATATCCGATATCCATGCTTCCAACTTCGAGGCATCTTTCGAAAATATATTTCTATCTCTCGTCAGATAAACATGTCATGCTGGATATTACGTAGATTCGGCGAATTGTGCGGTATGCGTGAGATGATGATGTGCTTTCATGTAGCTTTTTTCCATTTTTCTTTCTTTTTGTTGCTGCTACTTTTTTTTTCTTCTTTTCACTGCGTGCCATTCGCAAACACAGAAGCTCTTGACTTATGATGATTCACGAAACGCAAAAGATTTTGCCGCTCATTTTTTTCGCTCGTCATATCGAAAGCTATTGGATAATGCCGACATATTATCTAATGCTATAGAATGCGGAAGCAAGAATCAAGGTGGGATAAATGTAATATATGTATGGGAATTTGAGTGGGATTTCTCTTGACATGTCTCTCTCTCTCTCTTTCTCTCGCTCCGCATGAATAATAAGGTAAATAGATAACAAAAACACACCGAGCCGACGAAAGGGAGAGAGAGATATGGAAAAGATGACGATGAATAAACTTGGTGGAAGAAGAATTTCGGCGTAAATTTTCCGCAAAGCGCGTCAGATGCATTCAGAAAAGGTGCCCGTTTTCCGTGTGTATGTATGTTTGTGTAGGCATATAAATAATGTGTAATTTATACAATTGGCCTCTTTGGGTTTTTTTTTTCGCTTGGAAAAGAGAGAAAAAGCAACGTCGACGCCGCCACCGCACGAAAACAGGTAGCGAGCGAATATGATGAGAAAATGTAAAATAATCTTATAAATACACAGCAAATGGAATATGACATCAAAACCGGGGGAAAAATAGCAGTGGAACAAAATATTGTGGCGAGAGTCAGTCGGATGACGCTTTATGGCCATTTGCAAGCTCTGAAAATTATGCTTCCATAAAACATTTTTGGCAATTACATCGTGTGTAGACCACGAATGATGCTCCGGGTATTCGCTGTCTGAATAATTCATTGTGTGTTTTCGTCACCACGCGATAAAATTATTTGCGTTGGGCCAAATCAAGATAATTTTTTTTCTATCTATCCCACTCTCTCACACGTAAATACCAATTTATACATGACAAAACATGACTTATCTGCGCTTCATTTTCATCAGACTGATTATAATTCAAACGAATTTTTCGGCGGTGTAATAAATGGAAGCGAAAGACGTGGACGGGTCGCTTTGTTAAAATCACTACTTCCCCGAGAGCGATTCATTTTTATCGCACAAGCGTTCACAATTAATTATTCACATTATATAAACAGAATTTGACAGAGTTTTTTTCATCTCTCCAACTATTTGTGTGTGTGTGACGATGAAAGCAGAGATACGAACGAGGTACAAAAACCAGCGAATGTGAAAATGTTTCATACCTGTTTTCCATTAATTAGCCAAGTTATGTGCGGCGCAGGATGTGCTTTCGACGTTGTGCAATTAGATACTAAATTTTCGCCAATCGTAAATTGACGTTTGCTAAATGTAATTTTCGGTGGGCCGGTCTGTTGAACTGTCAGAGATGAAGAGAAGATGAAACATGATTTGATTTCGATTTTTGATAACAAGATTTTTTTCAAATTTGAGAGAGAGGTAGAGAGAGGTAATTGAATTTTTTTTGTCGATCTTACCAATGACATGCACTTGCTCAATATTTGATTCCTTTGTGTAGATGGGCGTTTCGGTTGACACCTCACAGTAGTATCTGCCAGCCGCATCGAAATCAATTTTCTCCAGATGAACCTTGTCTTCATTGGAATTTTTCAACTTTGTTACACAACATGTCGAGTAGCCAGAGAAAAAAAAGATGAATGCGAAATAACATTTTTGATATTATCTCCGAAATCCTGACAATATTTGATACAAATGTACCCATTGCATCCATATATATACATATATATCGATCTTATATGATGAATCCGCACACATAAATCTAATTCGCATACATTTCGATCGCAACCATGCAAACAAACGTGACAACAAGACAACATTATACATGCTTCGATGCTACTTTTCATATAATACACGAGACAGAAACGACAACATTGAATAATATTGTTTTGTATCGACAAGCTTTTGACTGCCTGCTAATGGATTCGAAATAAGCCATCACACAATGCGATGCATTCGATTTATTCAACCGAGTTGAATAAACCGAGTTGTCGAGAAAATGAATGCGATATTAATCCACAGTCATTTATTATTAATGCATGTAACCGCTTCATCTTGTTATAACGCGACAAGACAATGAACAAACGTAATATTATGCAAACAGTAATTTTTTCTTCAATTAAATACCGTTCATATTGTTTGCTACATAGGGGTATTGCAACGACCATAAAATATATGTATTTCATCAAGTTTATCAAGCTCTTTCCAAGTTTATGCATAGTGTCGAACTTTTGTTCAAGCTCTACCATCTAAATGTACATTAAAATAATTTACGGGCACGAAGTTAGATGGCGTTTTTTCTGGTCAAAAAAGTTGCAATATCCCTTTGGTTTGCTGATTGAAATATTGGGTCAATTCAAAAGTTTCCGCCGCTGACATTTAAATGTCGCCACTTGTAACTGAGCGTAGCTTGACAAGTGAATCCCATTGCATTTTGTAGATGTGACATTTAGCAATCTAACTCAGAGCAGAAAGATTCATTTTTCGTTCTGCGTCATTGTTTTTGAATCGATTGAAAATGGATCGTGATAAGGTGTTTTTTCGAGGGGCCCTTCTTTTCTTATTTGATTCGAAGAAAACTGCCGCTGAAGCTCATCGAATGCTGTCAGATACTTATGGCGAGCAAGCTCCATCGGAAGCTGCAGAGAATGGTTTCATCGATTCAAAAGTGGTGATTTTGACTTGAAAGACAAAGAACGTTTAGGTCGGCCAGAAGCGATTGAAGATGTCCATTTTGCAAGCATTATTGGATGAAGACCCAACCCAAACGCAAAAAGAACTTGCATTGCAGTTAAACGTCGGCCAAACAACCATTTTCAGACATTTGCACGCCATGGGAAAGATTCGGAAGCTGGGAAAATGGGTTCCACATCAACTGTCTGAAGAGCAACTTCAAGCACGAATCGCAATATGCACAAAACATCTTGCAGAGCACAAAAGAAACAGTTTTTTGTATCGGATTGTTACCGGCGATGAAAAATGGGTTTATTATGAGAACCCCAAGCGTAAAGCAGCGTATGTTGATCCCGGCCAACCGGCGCCATCCCAGCCAAAACGAGATATTCATTGCGATAAGGTTATGCTGTGCATCTGGTGGGATATGAAAGGAGTCATGTATTATGAGCTGCTAAAACCAGATCAAAAGATTAATAAGGAACGCTATCGACGCCAATTAAATGATTTGGCTCATGCATTGGATGAAAAACGGCCATTAATGGCTCGAAAACACCACAATGTTTTGTTCCACGCTGACAACCCTAAGCCACATCGTGCAACAATCGTTAAAAATAAGGTAGAGCAGCTCGGTTGGGATCGGCTTGATCAGCCCGCGTACTCTCCAGACCTTGCTCCTTGCGACTACTATCTATTTCGATCGATGCAGATTGCCCTGTCTGAAGTACTCTTTCAAAATGAGGAAGAAGTGCGAAAATGGGTTGATGACTACACTACATAACCTCAAAAGACGAGGACTTCTTCAAGCGAGGAATCAACAAGCTGCCTGAAAGATGGCTAGAAGTCATAGCTAACGATGGCGAATACATTGGTTAATGTACATTTTCAATTTATTTTGCAATAAATGTATTTTTAGACAAAAAAAAACGGCGGAAACTTTCGAATTGACCCAATATTTACGAAAAATGTATGCGTTCCAAATGTGATGGTGAAAAATTATTTTTACTCCTCCGTGACTTCAATAATACCTACATCAATTTCGGCGCCTGGTATTGAAAAATTTCTATAGGGTGGATTTCGATTTTTGATGTATTGGAAAAATTTCCCGTTATTTTCTTTCAGAAACGTCACCTATAGCAAAAATGAGAATGAGAGAAAAAAACGCAAGCAAACAAAGTAAGTGAATATTGATTTTTATGTTCCAATTGAATACTTGATGAAGCATCAAAGTCAAAGTCAATGCAATCCAATCCAATCCAATCCAACTGAATTCAATTTCATTTTCCCATTTCGAAGCGTCGAGAAAAAAATTCGATTTCGTTCGGTGCTACTATTGTTTTCATTCAAAATGTTCCATCGATTGATTTAGTTTTGCGCGAGTCAATCTGTCTGATAGCATTTATTATGAAGTGATCACATAAAATTGCAACGATATTTCATCGTTTAGCATTTCATATGCAACAAGTTTATGTAGCTCGAATTCGAACAGAAGTCAGTCTATCCATTTGACGCGCGCGCGCGCGCATGTGCTCGTTCTCTTTATGCGATAAAACAAACTAAATCAGCCCGAAGCGACAAATGGTTGTGCCAAGTGAGAGTTTTTGCTCCGGCTACATAATAAAACTAGCATCTAATGACACAAACCGAGTGCAGCAATGCGCTGCACGTTGAATCCGTAGTGATTTATGGATAATTACAATCTGCAAATTTGAATGCATGCACAAGCGCATGGAGTGAGATGAGGAAACAAAAAATTGTAGCTCCATGGCATTGGACGTAAACTGTTGCTTTTTTCCTTCATCGATTGCGCATTTATCGGACGATGTTGTTGGCGGTGCATGGGAGCCACATTTCAAATGCTTACCTTGTACAGGATTTTTGGATCAACGTTGTGCTCGCAATGAAACATTACGCTGGATCCCTTATCAATATATTTCCTAGCTACTACCAGACGTGCCTCGATATCTGAGTATCCATCTAGAGGAAGAGAAAAATGGACAGAAAAAAAACACGATGAATTTATTGAAGCTGCTGTGCTGCAACATACTTTCTGCATTGTAAAATAGTTGGCAAATTTTTTGAGCATTTTTTTTTTTGTGTTTTTCGCTTTCGTTGACGATGGCATGTACAAAACAAGGCAACAGAAAAAAATGGTCAAGGAATCAAATGAAATGCTATTGAGAGTGGGTAGGAAAAGAAGCGATGCTAAGTAAATGTGGGTATTTTATTTCGCACATTTTACATTTTCCGTATCTAAAAATATGCTCACATTGCAAATAAGTATGCGATGTGAATCGAAAATAAATGGCCAAAAGGTGATCGTAACATTCGCTATAATTTGATGTGACAATTTCGCTTTGATACAGAAATACAACAGAAAAGACAAGTTATTTATATGTAACTCATAAATAAAACATAACGGTCGTGAGAATTCAAAGGAATCTTTTTGCCATATTAGCTGTCATTATTATCGGAGTTGACCCGTGTCATCCGTCAATTTTCACCATGCGAAGGTCACCAGTGCCTCGTAAACATAAACACACACCGAACGAACTGTGCTGTGAATATAAATAAATTAATGGTCGTATGAGTGCAGTGTTCATGGTTTTGTCATCATTCAATCCCTTTTCAAAAAATGTTGATGTCGAAAAAATCGAAAGAAACACACATACGCACACTGTCCCAAAACTGTTTTGTGCTCAGTCAACCTTATCGTAGCTCGATTTCAGTTTTTTTTTATCTTATTGTTGAATTTGTTAAAGACAGCACCAGGGGAAGAGACACGAGCAAAGAGAGATATCAAGTGGGAAAAACCTCCCCGGAAATCGTGCAAAAAGAGTATACTAGTGTGGCAGAAAAACGGATTCATTTGGCATTTAGTTGGTTGGTTGGTAGGCTGAATTGGCCGTAACATTTAACACGTATCCACTTTAACTTGCGCGTCAAATGAAATGCAATAAAAATAGATAGCTTCATGGCAGCGCTTACACTCGCACAACGAGAATGAAAACGAACGACAGCACGATTGCAGTGCCGTAAGTGTGTCTACTTTCACTGTTCCACCCACCCCAAGTGTCATATTTATTTTTATTATTATATATATACGTACATTCGTGATGTGAATGTACTTGAGCGAAGACCGATTTTAAATGGGCACATACAGCAAATACTTTTGTGCCTACAGTCGCACAGTTTTATTCCTCCCCACTATCTTCCGTCAACGTTGAACGAGAGAAACGAGATATGGAGACGAGAGAATGGAATATAAAATTGTGAATGTGCTCCTGAAAGTCCATTCTCCTGATGAAAGATCGCAAAAACGTATAAAATTTTAATTAACCACACGCTTGCACACGTAATCCACATATTCACTGGTAGAAAATGGGAAAGTTCGTACACACGCAAAACGACCGAGTAGAGAGAGCAAGCCCGAAGCCGATAACGCGAAAATTTCCATCGTCATCAAACAAACGAGAAAACACGGAAATTGAGTTTATTGTGGCTGTTTGTTTTTTATTTTCTCTCTTCTGATTCATTCCTTAGAAAAATTCATTGGCAGAGGTGAGCGCACTTGCGCATACACACACACACACTATCAGATATGGAAGAAAGAAAGACACACACACACACACAGCGAAACACGGAGATAAGAAGCATGAAAGACAAAAATAACACACATTTTCAAACCATGATTCGTAGTGTTTGCTGCGTGTTTAACACCGCAATAAATGTCGCATGGTAACATCACCACGGTGATTCAACCACGTGAAACAGTCATCAAATGAATTTCATATTTTTATGTGTTTTGCCAGCAAAAAAAGATAAACCAACAGATTTAATCATATCCAGAGTGTTTTTTTTTTCTCTTCTTATTCTTCGCATTTCATTTTGGCATGAGTTGAACTTTTGCTTCCGGAATTTTCTTCACCTACTTTACCACGCATTCAAATTCGCTCACAATGTTTTCTCTCCACCTTTCTTGGTGTTCCATTGTTACCAAATTAAAAAGCGATGGTATTTTCATGAGCAAGACAATTAATTTACCATCCGAAGAGGAAGATAGAGCGCGGATCCTTGGTCACCTGCCTCTTGAGCCATGATAACACACACACACACACAAATTCCAGAAATAGAAATAAATTATGATGTTTCAACTACGGTGTGCAACGCGCGGTCGTTCTCTCTGTATCTGGATTACATCCCGACATCCCGTCAGCCGAGAAGAATTTCACAAAACAGATAACATTTAATTTTTCTCATTTAAATTATTATTTTGCCTCTGAATCAAATCATTAATCAAAATACTGCAGGACGATTCCCTCTTGTTGTTGCCAATGGTTTTTCTGTTCTTATTCTTGTTCAAGGCAACAGTTTTTTTTTTGGTTTTCGGTGTTTATTTTTCAAGGCAGGGAATGCCATTGCTCTTAATGAAGACAGCAGTATACATGTCGAGGGGAAAGCAGTTCACGAAAAGAAATTACGCGAAATACTAAAGCGAGTACCATTGTTTTCCTGATTAAAGGCGTTGTTCATTGCCGTGTATTCACCTAATAACAATTAGAGCGATTTGCACGGAAACGAAAGCAAGACAAAATGCAAAACCGAGCCAACAAATTTGAAACAATGTGCGAGGCATTCACTTCGTCCTGTTTATTCGATTGCAAAGCGATGTGTGCGCGCGATGAAAACAAAACAGAAAGAAAACAACATATCAACGTAGCCGATTTCAGGTTGAACATTTTAGGTTTCAGGTCAGAATTCAGCTACAATGGATATGGTTTCGTTTTTATGGGTTTACACCGCTTTTGTTTCCACTTCTCTGTGGGCTTGTACGAATACAAAGGATCACACAAACACAGCGAATATACTTGCATATGTTTGGTAAAGCACGTCGTGGCAATTGAATGAACTCCCATAATCATAACAATAAGATTAAATGAGTCGTGGGTCATAAAACAGTCAAATTTTACAATTATTTTCGGCATTTTTTTCTCTTCCTCTCTCTCTCTACAGCTTTGTGTGGCTATGTTTGGCGTTCGCGTTTGTCTGTTGATTTGTTGGTCGAATACGTGCAAAAACAACACACGCCACACCAAATAGATAAGTACTTAAAAGTGATAGCTGTGTAAATGGGATTATATTGTCGTGATTTTCGTCATTTCATTCACGGTTTTTTGGAGGCTTTTTTTCTTTCTCTTCCTTCCTCCATCTTCGCCTGTTTTCTCTTTACGTTTCGTGTTTCATCGCCCCAGAACGGCGTCTTTTGTATTCAATCAAGGGAGCTGATATGTAATCGTCTTGTATTTTTTCCACGCTCTCTATATTTTACACGGAACAATTATGCCGTGAAATTTATGATTTTAATTTTTTGCCCTTGCGACGTGTTTTGAATACTCTGAATTGTCATACATGAGACTAGTTCTTCTTTCGCTCGCGAAATAAAGTTTAGTTTAAAAATTCATGGGATAACTTTTCTCAAAAAGTATTAAGAAAAAAAAAACCAGATTAGTAGCTCTACATTTCATGTAGTGCCAAAACAGAGTATTTTTATCTCAGCTTGAGCTTTATCAATGGAGATTTTTTCCATTCAGAAGAATCAAATGTTCCGTTAATAACAATCGACAGATACTGAACTCATTTAGAGCTGTTTTTCTCTGGTTTGATGCACGATCTCAATTCGTTGTGAAAAACAACAATTCAACTTTAGGAGCTATTTACGATATGACCAATGCCCGTCACCCACGCCACTGCGGAAATCCAAATCGAATTTCCTCCAGAGATCGAAAAAAATTGGTAAAATCAAATCAAAAGTTAAACAATTGATGAATCTCTCATGATATATGGTCCGTAAAATGACCGAAAAGTTGAAAATACATTTGAGCTTTCAACGAACTAAACACCAAACGAACGGCAAAATAGATGAAAAACTTATTTTATTTATTGCGTACAAGCGAACATACTAATGTGTGCACGCAATATTGTCTCTCTCAAGAGCATTACGGCTGAAACGTAACAAATTGACTGTTTGCTTTGCGTCACAAGTAGATGACGTCGATTTGTCAAATGATGGGCTCTCTCACAGGCTTTTGGGCTTATGCACTCAACAATCGGCATCTTTGGAAAGTAAACATGTTCAAAAGCTGCACACTATACTACTTCTATCCAAATATTTTGCCCCATCCGCTTTTCGGCTGATTCAATTATCCGATTTACGCATCAAATAAAAACATCGACAATAAAATAAAGTTAATGATGTGTGCCGATTGTTCGGCCTCACACAAACACACACATACACAGACGAAAAAAACCTTTGAATCAAACAAAGAAATACGTCTAAAATATGACGTTAGTAGGTTTCGTCTGTGTACATAGAGCGAGAGCGAAAGAGAGTTACAATCGCAATGTAGCATCGGTCGATGATTTGGCGAGTTTGTTCACAACAAAGACCCAAATTCCAATTTAACAAATAAATTTTCGGCTGTGCTGATACGAAATCGCAATCTGTTTTCATTAAAATTTGCTTTGTCTGCGACGGCAATAATTACCGTAATTAATTGAATCAACAAAAGTTGCATCCATCTATTGGATTCAGTTTTGTTGTCGGTATTGTGTATTTGTTTATCTTATTGCTCTGCTCGTCTTTGTGGACACACTCATTTGTTTGGCAATTTTGAAATTGTAAAGGAAAGTGGTGGCGTGAGAGAATGACATAAATTAACCCTTCACATCAACCAGAGGCAATACCAGACAGATTCCTGATAAATACGATAGGATAAAGGGGTTCGTTGTACAGAACAACTTTATAAACTGGTGGGAAAAAAATCTCTAGCTTTTTGTTATTCATGAAAAACCAGAAAAAAACAATATTGCTTGAGAACAACAACAAAAATTAGTTGACATAGGATGATGGTGTATCATTTACTCGTCACTCAAAACGAAATCTCAATTTGTGGAGAAAATTCAGACACAACAAAAAC